CCATTTTTTTTCCCTTTCTATTCCGCAAACTCCTCGTCCCCCCCCCGGGCCCCGGGGAAAATCTTCATGTTTTCCACCATCGAGGATGTTCTGCGAACAAGGGGGTCTCTCTCCAAAGTCAGCGACTGGACGAGAGCGACTGGGCAAGCAAAGGGGCAGGGAGAAGTGGCAGTCCCCACCACCTTGGCGCGCGCGGAGGTCACTCGGTAGCGAAAAACACGCTTCCCGCTACCTCCAGTGCAGGTGGGGTCTCCACCGGGCCCCTTCATTGGCGCCAGGCCCCGGCGCCACCCCCTGGCCCCGGTCCGCACTTGAAACGGCGCCATGGACCGGACCCCGGAATCTGCTCTTCTCGCTCGTCGAAATCGATACGAACACACTCTCATCAGACCGTCCCCCTTGGCGCCGACTCTCCTCCTATCTTTCTCTGTCTCGGCTTCTGCTGGCTGTTTGTGTCTTTTGTGCCAGTCTGTCAGTCAGTTAGTTCTCTTTGGTCGGCCCGCTGACTGCCGTCTCTGACCAAGCCACCTGACGCTGCCTGCTTGCCAGCTGTCTGCCAGCCTGCTTCGGTCGTATCCTGCACAGCCAGCCAGCACAGCCAACCTCTCCACCTCAGGTCACTCACTGTTAAGGTCAGGGCCAGCCAACCCCCGTCGCTTCATCAAAGTAACCTCGATGACGACGCCTTGGTCCGCGTCCATGCACGTTATCCTTCCCGACGCCAATCTACGTCTGTCCGTCCCCCCTCCGCTCGGCACATAGCAAGCCCCTTTTAGTTTACGGACAGGCCTGACGACGCTGAGTGCTGTGACAGCGATTCATTCATTCACTCACAAAGCGACATCACCCTGGATGACTGTTGCCGAGTAGAGGCGTAGACTACGTGGCTGGCGCGCGGACAGATGATGCAGCAGAACACATGGCTGGCGAGGGACACATGGCTGGCTCAGAAAGTCAAGTCAATGGAGTACAGAAGGAGAAAAAGAGATCCGGGGGAGGGGGTGAGCGGCGGGGGGTCCTCCTGCCAGACGGACGATCAGAACAAACTCGCGGCACTCCACGCTTCAGATATCCCAGAACGCGCACGCCGCC